GTTCGAGGCCAGCCTGGGCTACCAAGTGAGTTCCAGGAAAGGCACAAAGCTACACAGAGAAACCCTGTCTTGGAAAACCAAATAAACAAACAAACAAACAAATAAATAAATAAATAAGTAAATAAAGTCAACAAGGATACAAGAATTGGTCACATTAGATTAGTGTGTCATTGAGTTTTATCAGTTATTCTACACTATAATAACTAGAATACAAAAGGCTTGAAAAACAATAAAAATAGTCAGAGAATATTAAAAAATGATCAAGAGAGTAATAACATGAAAATCATATTAATTGAACTTCTAAAATCACAGGGGCAGAGTTTCTAGAAAACCCAGTCTTGGAACACAGAGCCAGAGACCTTGCTTACCTGTTATTCCAGAGTAGAAGTAGTCTTCAAGGCTTTTATTGTTCCACAAAATATAAGAATACAAATAAATTATATCAAGAATGAAAATGTGCCTTGGAAAAGTGAGGTAATTTCCAACTTCCTCTGCCTCACACATGATACCCTGCACATATCTGAGCACATACAAACTTCTTATAAAGCATCAGGGGAGTTCATTTTTTTTCTTAACATTGCACTTGTTTTCAAGGGCTTATTTCCTTTATAATTGCTTCCTCTAAAGTAGTCTTTCAAAGTCCATTAAACAATTCAAGAAGAGACAGAGGCTTTGTCTCTCAGAAAGGGTAGTGGAAATTGTCTTCACTAAAGATTTATTGATTTATCTTCTGTGAACCATAATTGCTTATCTTAAGTTAAAGCATTTTTACACACAATGAATGAAATATGAGTTCCAATCTTGATTTCTTTTGACACGTTCCTATTGAGAATAATACATATCACTACTCATCTGGGGCAAAGCACTCTGTTCCATTTTTTTCTTACACCAGAATTTGCTTTGCATATATGTTCTTTTTATCCATCCCATTACTAGCCTTATAGCATTATTTTCTTCACTATTGCAGCGTAAAATGTTAAATATGTTGGCTTCAATTGAACTTTGATGTTCCTGTGATACTCTGAAAAGAATCCATGTGGTTCTGGAATTTTCTGTGTTCAGAAACATTATGTGTCACTTTTATTAGCCATGTTCCATGTGTATCTTCTTACATCATTTCTTCTTCAGAAGTTCATTTTCTTATGTTATGTGTCAGGTTCATGAGGTAGTGGAAGTAGGATATTGTTTATGTTTGGAATCAGGAAAACTTTGTTAAATATAATAAGCTTTAAAATAATAATACATAATGTAATGAACATGACCCGCTCACTTCAAACATGCTGGTTCATGAGAATAGCTCCAATGAGCCTCAATTAAATAGAATTACTTGAAAAAGACAATGTGACATGAAGGAAGGATTGCTAAATTGAGCAAATTCTGAAACTCTCTTGATCTGGTGTCATGGACAATAAGATGACTATTAACACTGAGAGATAATTCTGCTTTCCTGAACCTACACAAATTCACTGTCAATAGATCTGTACCAAATGCACCTAACACCATACTCAATATCAAAAACTTTATGAAGCATAATTGATGAAGAAAAAGGAAATATAGAGTCCTCAAAATCACTTAGTAATCAAAGCAGTGAGCCCTCCAATCTTTTTTTTTGCAGTTTACTTTATATAGGAAATCAGGATTCTGGTGACAGTGGTAATGTGCTGTTATAAATTATTCCACTGTGTACACTTCTTTTGATTCTATCCTGTCTAGACTGTATGATTATTTACAGTGTTGCTTGGATTAAGAGCAACTAAACAAGTATTAGAGAACATTTGGGGCACTGTAAAAATCACCATTTCTTCAAAATATAGGGTCCTAAAGCCAGTTTGCAATGTTACCTGTCATCTGTCAAAACTGAAAAGTGCTAGTCCAGCTCTGGAAACCTCTTTGGTCTTAAGAGGACCTCGTATCTGGACCCCATATTTCTATTGACATGAGTCATTCTGCATCCTCAGACAATTGTTCTCGTCATTGATACAGACAAACCTTCTCTCAACATGAATATTCCCACTGCAGGTAAAACATCAGAAAGCTTGCATCCTTAACTTTGAGAAACAAGAACATGATTGTTTAGAGGGAATGTTGTCAGTCTTTAACAGAGGTACTGAAACAGTCAGAATAATCAATTATAATCTGTTGGCTAAAACAAATGAGAAATAAATAAGATATCAAATGTTGTATTGTGTGACTTTTACTAATAAAAACATGGAAAAAATAAAAAGCTAATCTAAGTTTAATTTCTGTCCTAATACTGCTTTTCTGGATATAAATGAAAGTATTGTCAATGATATGAAAAATTTATAGGATCTCACAAAAGATCCTTTCATTATCATACTAAGTTGATGCATTTTCATGTTCATATTCATAAATAACTTGTTTGGTAGGTTTCTGTGAATTTCCAGTTTACCTTCCAATTGTCAATACTGAGCTCAATTTTGAAATCTGTGTTCTCTGTCCATCCCATCCCTCATGGTTCCTATTCTCCTTTCAGGACATAAACCAGAAGCATTCCTACATCAATACAAGTTAATATCACTAAGAACTTGCCAGAGGGGGGCATCTTACTGTTTGTGTTTTATGCCTCAATTCATTGCCTCTGTATCATTAATTCCAGAGATATTTTTTCTCTAGCAATTACATAGTTGCAGGTTTAAGGTTTTCTAAATGGCAAATGGTTGGACATAAAACTTATTCTTCATAATTTAACCAAATTTGCCATAAATTTGCCAAGACAAGGTGAGATAGTCATTCAAAAATCCTACTTTACAGAAAAATATGTCAGATATTCTAGGCCTGCATGCCAAAGATAGAAGCACCAACATTACAGAGATACCATGGGTAACTGTCCAGGCAGCCAACTGCTTCTGTTATTTCTTAATTTTGGAAGTTGTTTGCTCTGCACTTCCTATTTACACAGGTAATATTATATCATCTCAGGTCTCTGATGTAACTGAAGACTAGATAGCTGTAATTATAGTTTTCCTTGTCATAAAACTTACAAAAGACACCCACAAAAGAGCTGTCAAGTGTATAAGGTTGAAAGACATAAAAGGTTTTCCTTGAGTTGGTCATACAAGTTAGGATAGAAAGTGAACTATGTACAATATTTTGGACTCACCAAGATAGGATAGTTAATGAAATATTTCTCTGAATTTGCCAAATGCAAATATACTGGACATTGTTAATGTAATTCTTACCTGTATATTTTTGTATAAATTTATTGTACTTACTGTATATAGTTTTATTTTGCTAGTTAAAATCTTCACTCTTTATTTAGATAATAAGGGGGAAATGTTGGGTGATATTTTGATTGTGTTATAACAAATAAAACTTGCTTGGAGTCAAAGGGTGGGGCCAGCCACTCGACCAAAATTAAACATAGAAGTTTGGATGATTGTAGATGGAGAGAAAACAGGAAATAGTAATGTGGGGCAGAGGGAATTACAGCCCTTTTTTTTCAGAGAAACTGTAGAGGTAGGAAACCATTGTGGCTGCTCCCCTGCTACACTGATATTTCAGGTTTCTACCTTGATGTATGACTCTTGACTTTTATTGATAAGATCAATTAGATTTACACTTCAATCAATGGTCATTAATATCCTTTATTATCAATTAACTCAAATTGCCTATAAAAAGACATAGGCTAACAGAATGGATAAGAAACAGGATCTGTCCCTCTGCTGCATAAAATAAACACACCTCAACCTCATGGACAGAAATTACCTCAGAGTAAATGGTTGGGGAAAGATTTTCCAATCAAATATATGTAACAAATAGGCTGGTGTAGCTATTCTAATATCTAATAAAATAAGCTTCAAATTAAAATTAATCAAAATAGATGGAGAAAGACATTTCATATTCATCACAGAAAATCCCATCAAGATAAAGTCTCAATTCTGAACCGTTATGCCCTGAATACAAAGGCACCCACATTTAGAAAAGAAACATTACTGAAGCTTAAATCACATGCCAAAACCCGCACATTAAAAGCAGGAGACTTTAATACCTCATACTCACCAATGGACAGCTCTGACAGACAGAAACTTAACAGAAAATTAAGGGAACTAACAGATATTATGACTCAAATGAATTTAACAGACATCTACAGAACATTTCATTCAAATACAAAACAATAGACCTTCTTCTCAGCACTTCATGGAACCTTCTCTAAAACTGACCACACACACACAGGCACAAAGTAAATCTCAACAGATACAAAAAATGGAATAACCTCTATTTTTTCAAATCACCATGGGTTATAGTTAGACAACAAACCCATGGCAACTCAACAACTCTCAACTGAATTACTACTGATTCATTGAAGAAATATAGAAAGACATTAAAGACTTCCTATATTTCAAGAAAAATGAGAGAAAACATACCCTAACTTATAGGACACTATGAAAGCAGTGCTAAGAAGAAAGAATATACCTTCTTCTCAACACCTCATGGAACTTTCTCTAAGACCACACACTCAGGCACAAATAAAATTTCAACAGTTATAAAAATATTGTAATAAGTCCCTGTATCTTATGGGATCACCATGGGTTATAGTTAGAAATCAAAAGCAACACAAACTACAGAAAGCCTACAAACTCATGGGAACTCAACAACTCTCAACTGAATTACCACTGAGTCACAGAAGAAATAAAGAAAGAAATTAAAGACTTCCTATATTTTAATGAAAACGAGTGCACAACATACTCAAACTTATGTGACACTATGAAAAGAGTGATAAGAGGAAAGCTCATAGCACTGAGTGCTTACATAAAACATTTGGAGAAGTGTCAGACTAGTAACATAACAGCATACCTGAAAGGCCTAGAACAAAAAGAAGCAAGCTTACCCAGCTGGAGTAAGAGGGCAGGAAATAATCAAAGTGAGGGCTCATATCAACAAACTAGAAACAATGAGAACAATACAAAGAATCAATGAAACAAAGAGTTGGTTCTGTGAGAAAAATCAACAAGTTAGAC